GGGGTAAATTAATTTGAACTTTACTCTTCTTCTAATATATTCTGGATATACTTGTAACAAAAACTTTCGAAATATTTCAGCAAACTACACATTGTCAATATTCGATGGCAGTTAAATTCCGACGAAGAAAAACTTCAATATATTCATATAGTGCGTTTATAAAGTAGTGATCGTGAACATAACCTTTTGGACTTTAATCGATTTGAATGAAAACAAAATAAGCAGACAGGAATAATGAAGAGAAAGCAAATAAATTAGGTTAGTATTTCTTTCTTTTGACTATTCTGTTAATAGTAAAAACTTTAATAATGTGTGTGAAATATGTATCTATATATGACATGTATTTATTATTTTTAAGTAATTATTTTTTATTGTCTCTGAATGAAAACTTATTCGGATATCATTTAAATTGAACCGTCAACATCCCCTTAAAAGGGAAGGTAGTGAGAATCAGAAAGTAGATAAGAGTTTGACATACAAAATCGTTTATTCAATATAAAAGGACACTTTATGCTAGCATGTACTATCAAATCTACAGTTTCATACAGTCGGGACCGTCGAAGTGTTTCTCGATTCGCTTGTTTCTTTTATGTATCACATATTGTACACGGATTATGTTGAGAATAATGGAGATAATTGTCATTCTGGTTGATGATAATCGATTACAAAAAAAAAAAAGAAAAACAATAAAACAAAGGAATAAAAAGAAAGAAGGGAAGACAGGAAGGAAAAAGAAATGTCCGAGAAATTGATTATGAGCATTTTAAATATATTCGCGTACTGTGCATAGTTACTGTTCGTTTTGCTATTCACAGCATGATCAATTTAAATCCACAGTTCGTTTATCCGTTGCAAAATTGATCTCTAAGATCGAAGAAATGCTCATCGCCACGTAGTTAAAACGCTCGCGCTAGAAAACTTTTGGCACCAGATAAAAATTGGTCATTCTGTGTATAAATATCATATATTTATATATTTATATATTTATATATATATAATATGTATAAAAAGTTGCGTGACTCGTTAATAAAGAACGCATCTGTCGACGGATCGATTGGTTTCTCGCACAACGGGGAAGATCTTTGCCAACATCGAGCACGCGTTAATTAATTACATGCATCCTATGTGTTCACCACAATTAATATATCTTACGTTAGAGTTATACATGTATGTCATATAAACGTACTATCAACTCAATATGTATCCGCTTTATCTTCGATATAGTATGAGCCACGATGTAACGAGATTGTAAAAGTTCTTAATAGTAAAAGCAGAACGGATTGGTAGAATTATTATTAAAATTCATATTTATTACTTAATAACATCAAATTTTAGTTATTATAGTTTAACTTATAATTACTAAAAAATTATTAAATTTTTTACTGAATAGATGGAATAAGATTTTATATACTATAAAATTATTAGTCATAGTTCGTCATTATGAATTCTGAGACAGAATTCAACATGTTCGCAGCAATGCGATATTAGTTAGTATCATTATTTGATGATTTAGTTTACAATCTCGTTGCATATTGGCACGTATTATGTACTATTCATTATGAATGAATATTAAGATAAATACTAGGCTCGATTAATTACTAGAATCGTTAGCTTATAAAAAAGCCGATTCAATTGCGCGTAAGTACAGAATTCACGATTGGCTCGTACACTAGTAAACCGCTTTACGAGCGATTCAATCTGTCTTGTTACCTCTGATGAATTTCACAAAAATTACTGAAAAATGAGTCTTCACTTAATCGCAAGGAAAATTATATTTA